CATGCGTCAATTTATAAATCAACTCATAGGCTGTGCCCCAAAACTTCAATCGAGCAAATTATTTTCGAGCAAACACTTTTCGAGAAAATTTCATTCGAGCAAAATTTCCCCATTCCAATATTGGTCATTTGTGGAAAAAATATGTATTTCTGAGTGGGAAGAGGTCCGGGCCCTTAAGTTACTCCAAAAAAAACACGACAAAAAAAGAAACAGACGGCATTCACTGAAAATAATAATTTTTCGTCTACACTGTTATGACTAAATTTTGGAATTGTAAGTATATTTTCATACTAATTCTTTATTCGGTTTCTAAAAATATGTTTACAATCAAGGGGAGGATCGAATCACTTGCTCATCTTCATTTTTTCTTACAAGCATGAAGTTTTACAGAAATGAACAAGGAAAACAATGGCAATTGATATAATGTAAAATAATGTTTTGAAATATTAATTTAGTGAAAAGATAAGCATCAATGAGATTAATATTCTCCTTTACCTGTTCCCGGTGGTCCGTATAGTAATAAACCTCGACCATATTTGATTTTCATATGTTTTGTTATGCTGGTAAAATCTAAGTTGACATATTCTTGTAAATTATTAATTTTTGTGCTAATTAAATCAATCGTATTGTTTGTTATTCTTATTAGATTATTTAGTTCCGTTAATCTAGTTTTTAATTTTAATATTTCCATTTCCAGTTCTGCTTTTTCAGTTTTCATTTTCAGTTCGACTGCGTCAATATCGTCTAATGTTAAACATGAAGGATCCGTTGTGTTTAATAATAAATTTGAGTTATTTATCTGTTGATGTGCTAGTTGTCGTCGATTATCACAATCTTGTTTTGTATCCTTTTCACGTCTTAATAACTCTTTGTAATGGTTATCATGTATCTTAACATCCGATTCTACAGTATTACGTTCGTCTTCATACGTTTTTAAATCACTTCGTTGCAATTCTTGAGCTTGCAAATACGTTTCTAACTCGTCATGCCATTGTTGCTTTTTTCTCTCTTCTATTAATTTATTTTCTAATGATTCTTTATAACAAAATGTATTTAAATAATTTTTTATTGTTGATAAAACATTGCCATCATCTTTATAAAATAATTCAACTTCTTTTATAGCTAAATCGATAATGTCTGGACTTAGGTAAGGCTGTAAATGTATATTTTTCAATATATAATAGAAATAACGTCGAACACGATGAATATCACTTAATAACGTTACTTTTGATTGTTGATATTTATCTTGATCACGTATATCATGACGATTATGTATACTATGATTTAGTTTTAATATTGTACGTAAAACAATTGGTACACGTTGTAATTTATCTATCTCCTCTGCACTAACATTTTGTAAATTTTCAGTAGTGGTTATACATTCAGCTAATTTTTTTTTAAAGAAGAAAACGAATGATTAATTTTCAAACATAGTTTATTGAAGTTGAGTGATAAAATAGAAACATCACTGATTTTATTCAGTCATAAATGAATCGGACAGTTTTGAATTTCTAAGATTTTCTAAAAGGATATTTTGAATGGTTCTATCAAATTGTAGATGTCTACTATCGTCGCCAAAATACCGTGCCCCTGGCTATTTCTTGAATAACTTTTGATAGAAAGAAGATAGCGATCTGTGGTTTTCAGTTTTGGACACTAGACACCTGGTCACATGTTTTCGTAAGAAGAAGTGGATCTTGGCGAAATTTTCAAAGTCAGTTTTCCAGAGGATTTTTCGAAAACTAGTTTGGATTTTCCGAAATTCACATAGGAATATATTGATTCTTTTTCATGGACTGATAGCCCGTGGTATCTTCTTCAAAGCGGGAGTCAAGCGAGACCTTGATTTTAAGCGGTTCGGGCGTTCTATCGGATTTTCTACGAACCCCAGGACTGACCCCCAGTGACTATTGATAGCCTTGTACACTGATGGATTATAGGTAATCGATCATGCTGAGTCTCATGGCAATATTTGTTTTTAGAAAAAGTTTTAAAAATCTAGCGAAGAGCGAGCTTTATAAAAATTTGAGTTTTCAGACTGTTCTTATCTAACATTAAAAAACTCACAATAAGTTCAAAACTTCAGAATGTGGAGTATTGAGGCTCTTCTGTATCTTGTTTGTAGAAGATCTCGAAAGAAATTTTACAAAATCCATCAACAAATATATGCTTTTTCGATTTTTTCGATCTTATAATTATGTTTAGCAGATACAATTAGCATAGTCTGAAGTTTCAAACTTGTTGTGATGTTTGAGTGAATAGTGAATTTTTAATATTTGGCTGAAAATCCAAGTTTTTATAAAG